CAATGCATTTTTTGTATTCATTAATCTGTTTGTTTGTGTTGTTCCTGCCTTTCCACACATTTAACGCAATATATGTGGACCTCATCTTACATTTTTCAACATTTGGTGGAACACTAGCAGGAATTTCAAGATTCAGACGGATAAGAAAAACTAAAATAACATGAGTTAAATCTATGAGAGATAGAAAATATCAAGGAACTTCAAATGAAATATTCTGTAAGGCTGGCAATTCCTGAACGAAGAGAGATTACTGATGCCGAAGGTCTTTCAGCTCATCTGCGATGACCTGAAATTAGGAGATACCAAGTATTGAGTGTCCTCTTGTAGCTTACATATAAACAAACTTCATGAAGGGGCATAGACGGTTTCTTGGAAGAAGGTTTCACTGGCATGGGAATTTGTACAAGAAGAGATTTTTTGACATAACAACAAGTCCACATAGTTCACAAAAGGTGTTAAGGGAGGAAAACTCAAAATATAATGATAAGAGGATCCTTGCCCAAGTCTAACTCAAATGAACCATATTATACAGTAAAATCCACAAGTAGAGAAGCCACTGATTACACAGGCAGTGGTTTTAGTGTCTTGAAATTTTTACATGTTCTACAGTAATTCCTGAATCTGAAAATGATATCCATTTTTCTCCATCGCGTACAGATTTTTCACAAAACGTTACATGTACTTTTACATAATTGAATCATTATCATTGAAATCGGGTCACATTTTGTTATGTTTAAAACGCTGACAACTGGCTATAGATTTCTCTAGACAAATCGCAATGTGAGAATCTTATCGATCATACTAGAACCCAAACATAATAATAAAAAATGTTCATTGTGGTAAACAAAATAATAATTTGATCTGAGTAAGTTTTTTTCTTCCCAATTTTTAAAAAATCCTCATGTGATAGAAAAAAAAATTATATTCTTTTTTGCAATCTGTGTAGCTGCATTATGGAATATCCGTTATTAAACCAAAACAATTTCTATGAAGTTTAAATTCGCAGGCCTGTGTAATTCTTGCAAGTCTCACTGCTGGGTGAAATACTCATGGCTACAGAGCAAAGAGTAGCTTTCAGAAGTATTCCGTCCTTTGGCATGAGACTCCAGCCATTTGAAATCAGAGGAAATATCTGAGAAATTATCAGCTATTTGGTTAATAGTCCAACGGAATATGGGATAAGGAATAAGTAAAAAACATCTACAACAATAGATATATTTGGGAATGAGTTAAAAACAAAGACATTACCCAAAGATCTGCATGCAATATGCCACGAAACCAAAGAACAAGATAAAGTGACTCTTCAAATCTTTTTAGAGCAAGTAACCAAAATTAAAGTATACTACATCATAAAAAAATGATGAAAATCCATTTAAATTAAACCTAACCCGAATTTTAGCATTATAAATCCGTAAACTTACCACTGCCCCACCAGGTAGCTCATGACAGTATAAAAGCTCAATAAAAAAACTTTTAAATGTATATATCCACTTAAAAGTAAGTTCATTTGTTTAAACTAAACTTGCTGAAAAAATTTCTGTTCGTAGCTTTATTTAGCCTATATAAAAGTATTGATTTTATGCCTTTTTTACCATTCTTTTTTTGTTTCTGAAAACGAAAAAGAAACAAATGAAGAGTTGAATAGAGTTGTTTAAACATTTGTTTAACAACAAATAAAAGCTTGGAATGGTCTATTCTTTCATTGGGAGTATGTTGGCTAACAATACGAAGAATTAAATTGTGGCAGAATGCTACAAGTTCTTCAAATATCTATAGAATTATAGGTTTCTTTTTTTTTGTGTGAGTGTAAAACACTTAAATACACCAGGTCGAAATGAAGAGTTAGCTAAACATAATGAAAATAGATTTGCTGAGGAGTGAGTAATCTAGCTTTGATTGTTTTCAAAAGTTACCTGTCAAATTCAATATGCATGACTTTAAACAGCTTTGCATACATACATATACACATAATGTAAGGATAACAATAGATCCATTGGTCCACCTAGTACACCACCCCATCCACTAAAATAAAAATAAAACACTCAAAGCCAGCCCTTATCATTCAAATACTTATTAAGCCTTCCCTTAAACTCTCTTAAATTAACTGCATTCTCCATATCTGAAGGCAACCCATTCCAAAGGCCAACCACCTCGCTAAAAAATATTGATGTTTTGGCTAAAAATGACTCCTACCTTGCTAAAATTTATACACGTATCCCCTAAATCTACCATTCTCACCATTAAATTAAAAAAAAAATGATGATACATCAGCACTGTCAATTCCCTTAACAATCTTAAACACCTCAATCAGATCCAAGAGAAAACAATTACAGAGATCTTAACACATGATCTGAAAATGATATCCATTTTTCTCCATCACGTACAGATTTTTCACAAAACGTTACATGTTCATAAACAGATCCAAGAGAAAACAATTACAGAGATCTTAACCTGTCCCAATATGACATTTCCATTCCAAGTATCGTCCTAGTAATCTTGCTCTACTCTTTTGAAAAATTCAATGTCCTTCCTATGGTACAGAGCTTGAGACTGAACACAATACTCCAAATGTGTCCAAACCAATAACCTATACAAGACATTATAACCTCTTTAGACTTGTATTCAATATTGCTGTAGATACAACCAAATATTCTACTTGCCTTGCCACCTGCAACAGCATATTGCTTGTATGGCTTAAGATACTGATCAGTTAGAATTCCAAGATCCTTTTCTTCCATAACACTGTTAAGTTTATTACAATCAAAATTATACTCGTAATTCAAATGATGATATTACTCATGCATTACCTTGGACTTATTATAATTAAAAGTCATCTGTTATTTATTTGTCTAACACACCATATAATTCAAATCCTTTTCTGAAGCAGCAACATCCAAAAAACTTAATATGATCAACAAATTTAAATAATTTATTAGCAATTTCTTCATCTATGTCATTGATGTAAATCTAAAAGAGCAAAGACCCCAATACAGATCCCTGAAGTACCCCACTTCTAACAGTAACACCATTTACAACAATCCTCTGCTTTCTTCCATCCAGCAAGTTTTCTTAGCCAATGAACCAACCTATCTCCCACATCTAGTAATCAACAAAAAATATTTCTCACCCACAAAGATTCTTGAGAAGTTAACATTTTAACTGTATCTGTACTAAAACTCACTTAGTTCTGTACTTGAAGGAGTTCGAAATAACTTGAATAATTTTTCAGTCGTTCATGGAAATAATAGACAGTATCAGCTCAGATGTAAAAAGTTGAGTTTATTTGCAAAAAACCTGTAATACATTGTTAGAAATAAATAGCACATTAATGTAATTCTAGGGCACAACTTGTCAATTTTGAGTATGTAAAACTTGCATAAACTTGAAATTTTCTTTAATAAAGATTGAGTAAAATAAACCATTTTGTTATATAAGATTTAAAAGGATAAGATTAAAACAAAAATACAATCACGTAAGGTTTTCACCTTATACAAGAAAACTTCTACACAACTCTAGCATGAAATTACAACCCAATTCACTAACCTCCAAACTGCCTATCACATGCTCAATTCTACTAAAAGGAAAGACCCCTTTTATTTTTAGTACATATATCAATATTTACAACTGGTCTGTTTTTAAAATATCCAACTTTTTTTTTTTTCAAATAGATATAACTCATAACTTTAAAGCAATTTTAAAAAATTACAAGTATACCAAACTGAAAGCAAGGAACAGGGCCAAAAAAAATTATAGTATATATTGTGTGCTTTAAATTTACAGTTCTCACTCATTTCAGTATTCCTGGTTTTATTAGTATGTCCTATTGATGCTTCAATTATGAAGGGTAACACAACTAGAATGTTCATATGTTGTACAGTGATGAAACATGAAGGTTAACACAGCGAGAATATTCGTATATTATACAGTGATGAAACATGAAGATTAACACAGCTAGAATGTTCATATGTTATACCGAGATGAAACCTGAAGGTTAACACAGCTAGAATGTTCATATGTTATACCGAGATGAAACCTGAAGGTTAACACGGCTAAAATGTTCGTTTTTTATACAGTGATGAAACCTGAAGGTTAACACAGCTAAAATGTTTGTTTTTTATACAGTGATGAAACATGAAGATTAACACAGCTAGAATGTTCATATATTATACCGAGATGAAACCTGAAGGTTAACACAGCTAGAATATTAACAGTGAAACAACACCACTGTCTACAATTAACTGAGCACTTATACATATGAACTTCCACCTATTCACAGCATAAGTGCTAGTAATAAATACATTAACAATTTTCCAGTCTGTTATGATTTATATCATGAAATTACTAACTTATGAACTTTCTTCCAACTTGAATTAACTGTCAGAAAATTAAGTTAAATAGATATTTCAGTACCAATGTTTTGCTGTTTGCTGTCTATAAATATTTTCTCAGGCTGTTATAGAAGAATTGTACTTTACAAAAAAAACTGTAAACACATCGCATATTTACTGTTTTAATCGACTGTAAAATATGCGAAATTGCATAATTTGATCAACAAGATTTTTATAAACTTTTAAAAAAATCTCACAAAGGAATATTATATAATATCAGTGGTTTGACTATATTATGAGATTTTATGGTAACATGGAAAACTATTATTCACAAATATAAATATGGCCATGCAAAATTTTGACTTTCTAGTTATGTCATCATTAGGCATATGAAAATAATGAAAATTGGGTGCATTAGAAAATAAAAATAATGTTATAATCATGCGAAGCAAGAACGATAACATTAACCAGCAATATTACTGACTGTCTAAAAACATTATCAATGGAGAAGAGGAAATAAAATTAAAGAGCGTTTACTTTTTTTAAATAAACCACCTATTTATAAGTTGTTTATTAGATCCTTTTACCAAAACAAAAGTTTCTTTGTACACTTAACTTGTTTTAAAGCAACTTTTTTTTTCAATAAAATGACCTTCTAATAAGACAATTTTTATAAATGCATTTTTTATTTGAAAAAGTAAATGTTTTTAACAACAATTGTTAGGGTATGAACTCCTTATTTGTCAGCAATGGATATGTAAGACATAATATGGTTAAATTACTATCATACATACTTTTTTCTTGAAAAAAGTCCTGATGGACTGATAAAGGGTTGGTGTGTTAAAAAATACAGTAAGCCTAATATTAATTTATGATAAATATAATTAAATATATATATATAATTTTATTTCCTCTTCCTCATTGATACTGTTTATAGATAGCCAATAATGTTGGTTATTTTATAGTTGATCTTGTCGCACGTTATAAGAAAATTTTTTTGATCTATTATTTTCCGTTGTGCCTAAATTTCCTTATCTTCTTGTAATTGATGGTGACTTAAGTACAAAGCTGAAACCTTGCATGGCCATATCTCTCTATCTATATATATGTGTGTGTACGTGTAAGTATTTATATATTATTCACAAATTTCAACAATGTACACTGCATGAAAAACAGAGTTCCAATACTTTCTTTGTGAGTTTAAGTTGTTTTTAAACATGTGGGCTACAGCATGATATATGAATTAATTTCTATCTTACAAAAAACAAAAATTATGGTTAAAATTCAAAACCCACGAACCTGAACAACAGGCATCAGCAAATGAAATTCATTTAAGTTTTCCAGTGGCAGTGATTAAAGACAATTTTTACAAAACCATTCTGTGACTCATTAATTGAAGTATACTGCATAAAAACTTCACAAAGCTTCATCCCCCTGTTTCCACTGGTACCCATTCTTCTCACTGTGGAGAGGTTCTTTTTCTGCTTGTCCTGGAGGACGTTTTCTTTCAAAAAACCCATGCTAGATAGTAGACAAAAATAACAGGTTAAGACTTTCTTAATTTTAAACCACAATATGAAATAATAGGGTTACGATGAGCTGAAATCTCAGTACTGTAAAACAATTATTTTACCATTTTTTACCTGGAATAAACTGTAGTATTGTAAAAAAAATGATCAACAAAAAGCATTCAAAGACAAAAAATAGGTGTTGTACAGAACTCAGGTTAAAATTTAATCCTCTGTAACAATAAAATGAAACAACTGTATTACAGATAATTTAGGTTAACATTTGAATATATTTGGACTATCAGACTAAATAACAAGAGATGCTATGGATATTGTTTCAGCCAGATATTAAATACGTAGCCAAGTCCTTTGGCTACGTAAATTAAAATTCAACAACCATACGGTTGATGTACTTAGTTAAACTAACAGTTTCATTAGTTTCACATTATGCTGGAAACTATACAACATATAAATAAATGAAAAATATGAAAGTTTTGAAAAGTATATAAATTATAAAATGAGTAGAGTGAAATAATGATACTTTAATAAAGGATAATGTAATAACTCTAGGTGAATACTCATATTTTAATTTCTCATATCTAGGATCTACAACTGCCAAAAGTATTTCTATAAGGAGATGGAAGAATTTTAGGAAAAATTTAGTCATGTTTGAACATGCCCAATGCTTCTTTAGTCCTCAAACTTCTTTCAATACTGAACAAGGACATCTCTGTGAGAAATCCTGATGACAAAATGAACAGAGCAGCGTGTTTTCAACAAATGATAAACATTAATGCAATATAATAATATGAATGTAGTTTTACAATAATACAGAAACATTTAAGCCTAACAAACAATTTTTCTGACAACTGTATTAATAATAAAACACTGCCTTATTTTTTAATATAAAATATTAAACAAAATTGAATCAATTAATTTGACAAAGATTAAGATTATTGTTTACAAAACTTTGATGTTCACTTATCATACTAAAATTATTTACAACATATTTTCTAAATTTAATAACATTATTGTTTGTTTTGCATAAATAAGAATGACATAATTTGAAAAATGTCAAAACTAAATTGATCTAACTACTACAAAAACCAAACTTAAGGTTAAAAATACAAACATCTAAACTATCAGATGATATTAACTGTTCTGCATACTACTGAGGTTAACATTATAGACATCTGAACTAGGATATATTTTTCTTACTTTTCTCCAAAAACCTCAAGGGCACTTGTTAGTTTAAAAAAATATTATTGTGACCCAAAAACTATAATAGTCTGTTTATGTGAAGCACAAAGTTACACAACGGGCTATCTGTACTGTGCCCATCACAGGTATAAAAAATCTGCTGTTTAATATTATAACCTCTCAGACTTACTTCTGAATCAACAGGGGGCAACTAGTACAAAAATTATATTAATTTCTTCCCTTACCACTAGAAATACTCATCACTCCTTGTGTAACCCAACCTAAATATTTCCACTTGTTTCACAGACAACTCTTTTAGTTGGTAAAAAGGGATAACTAATCTTAAAGTACTACTTAGCAAAAAAGCATTATTAGAGGACTAATAATCATTTTAAAAAAAATTATTTATTTAATTTCCAGGAAATAGTTAACGAAACAATTTGAAAACTACTCAAATACTGACACAAATAACTATCAAATATGGTGAAAGTATACATACTTAAAAATGTTAATTATTTCAAAGAATAAGATTCTTTGTGTAAACACGAAATAATTATTTTTAACAGTTAAAGTTTTTGCATATACATTAGGTTCATTGGTTAAATTTCAAATTTTTTTATCACTGATATTTACTTTTTTGCTAGCCGTTTTGATACATTGAAATATTCATTCTATAATGTGAGCATTCTGACAGTGAATCTCTAGTGTAGGGACGTGTTACACGTAAGTGTTGTTGCTGTTATTATTTACATCAATAGTAACATCATACTATTGTATGTTTTAAAATAAGCTACAAGGTAACAAGGCAGTAATTTAATTTTTTATACATCATCAAGTTCCTTTAAGATATATCTTACCTTCCTAAAAACTAGGATAAGGAGGCCTAGAACCAACAGTCCAAGACACGCAGCCAAAACTATAACCCACCAGGGTACACCTAGCCATTCCCCCAAGTCTTCTGTTGTAACAGGGGTGGTCACCTGTAATTTTTATTTTTAATATTTTAGTCAATGTAGTTTTCAACAATCTTTTCAATCATGAAGGTACAAATATGATAAAAACAAAAGAAATAAAAATACAATTTTTATACCCTTAGCTACTTAAAGCTTCCAAAATTTGAAAGATAACTAAGATTTATTCCTACATATATAAAAAAAGCACAATGTTTGCACTAAAAAAAATAATTGTATAAAAGTGCAAAACAAGACCAATATCTCATACATTTTCTCACATAATTTAACAAAAAATGATACAGAGTGTAAAATTATAACAATGGCTTTACTGATATTATTAAACATAATTTAATGCAGATGCAATTAAAACAAAATGACCTTAAAAAGTATAGTTGAAAGCACGCTTACTATCGGCAATGCCGAGAAGATAGATTAGTCAATATGTGTTATAAACTTTCAGACATATAGAAGCATACTAAGAGAAGAAAAAACTTTATGATTTGTTCGTCAAGTTGAAATAAAAGAGGAGTGTTCTACATATAATATTTTTGAAGTTATTTGTTTTTAAAATGGGTCAGATAATTTATGGATACCCTGTATATAATTGATTTGAGTTGTTTTGTTCTGTCTTTTCGAGTCTTTTGTGTTATTACTACATTCAGGCTGCTATCGAATGATTATATCAATTATATTATTTGATCCACCAAATGTTCAATGAGTGGTGAACATTCGCAGAACTTTTACAGTTTCGTGAAACTCTGATAACAACATTATAAATTTGACCGTTTCACTTACAATAACAGCAATCCTAGTGGTAGGTCAGTAAAAAAAGTGTAGGTCAGTTTTCCTTAAGTCTTGGGAGAGATTAAATCCGCTAAGTATTATTTGTTTTGTTTTTTTGCCTGCTTCTTGTTTGACATTCATTTGTTGAAGGTTAAACAAGTAAATTCCCTAACTGGCAATTTGTTTTTGCCTGCTTCTTGTTTAACATTTATTTGTTGAAGGTTAAACAAGTAAATTCCCTAACTGGCAATTCATGACAGCCACAACATGATAGTGACATCAATACTACGATAACTTATGCATGTGCTATACAGTAAATTAAGTTGATTTAACACTCTTTAACAGAGATAAAATTCATATTCACTGCATACGCAACAACCACTTATTTTTTTACTTGATGCCCTACAGTATGGTAGATACATTAAACAGGTTATACCACACATTTGAGGTTTAATAACCATAAAATGCATGCAGCATGAATGAGACGATTTAGACATTCTCTAAATAAGGGGAAAACTTATTCCCAAGAAAATGGTAAATTATAAATAGATGTTCTTAATGAAGTACGGACCACCAAGCCTGAAAAGTTTATTAAAAACATCTGTTTATAATTTACCTTTTTTTTCTTTTGTGATACAGTTTTTTCTCCATTTTATTCCAACTTAATAGTATCATAACTGTTTTTGTATGAATTATCAAATCAAGCTTTCTGGGTTAAAAATAATGACAACAACAATTCTAATGAAGCATATTTTCTTTCCTTCAGTTCTTTTGGGAAAAATCGTTCTTTCTTTTTTTTATTATTTTATGTCACAGCTATTATCATTTTCACTGTATTTTGTGGTTACAAGATACACCCATCCTGCCCTATTCATCATCTACCTTCCTCTGCTAAACAAGAGAATGAAGAATTTAGCCTTCACAACACCATGTAAGAATATGATGTCATAAGTGTTACTTGATATCCTTGATGACAATGAGTGACAGTTGTTTACATGTGTAAGCATCATTGCAAAATACACAACACAAATATAAATACGGACAAGCAAGTTATAGAAATATGGGTGGGGGCAACAAAAACATTTGTAGTTAGCGTAACTTTTTATCAGAAATTGTAGGCCTATTGATTTCGACACTTTACTTAAGGATAGGTCTACAATACTACCTTTACATGCCTCTTATTTTGAATCCAGGTAAACTAAGAGGAATGGGGGGGGGGATCTGCAGTCATGATATTTTTATCATAAATGTTAGGCCCATTGGTTTCTAATGCTTCATCAGCTTTTGGCATTTAAATCATAATTCTTGAAATATTTGAATTTTTTTATATAGATTTATAAAGTTGTAAATTAAAAGATAATTTTATCTAAAAAGTTATTTTAAAACAAATTATGTGTATAAGAAGGCTGTGTTATATTAAAACAAGGAAGACTGGCATGGCCATATTTATACATGTGTATGTATATATATGTAATTACCATGATTCATTATTTAGCAAATTTATTATACTATTCTTTTGCACAATGTACGCATTTTTAGAAACTTACAAATCATACATAACGTAACATTAAAGTCAACACCTATCCAGTAAATTAAACTAAACACTAGAAGAAAAAAAATTAAAAGCCAGTTTTTACCATTTCAAAAATCTGTCAAGCTTTCCTTTAAACTAACTTAAAGTAACTGAATCTACCACATCTGAAGGAAACTAATTCTAAAGGTCAAACACCATGTTAGAAAAATAAAGCTGTTTTAGCTGAAGATGATGCTCCCCTACCAAAATTTATGTTTGTGTCCCCTAGTCTTAACATTCTCACCATTAGATATAAAATGATATGATGCATCAACATTATAAATTCCCTTAACAACCTGAAACACCTCAATCAGATTCCCTCTGTCTCTTCTTTTTTGAAGAGAAAACAAATTTTAGAGATCTTAATCTATCATTGTATGATAATCTTTCCATCTAAGCTATCATCCTAGTATCCTCCCTCTGAACCGTGTCCAACAATTTAATGTCCTTTCTGAGGAAAGAAGCCGAAGACTGAACACAGTACTCCAAATATGGCCTAATCAATGACCTATACAATGATATTATGACCTCTTTAGACTTGTATTCAATATTTGTAGAAACGACCTAAAATACCATTTGCCCTGCTACTAGCAACAATAAATATGCTAGGAAGGCTTAAGAAACTGATGAAACAGAACACCAAGATTATCCATAATGCTTTTAAGGTTATTTATTCTCATCAAAATTAAACTCATAATTCAAATTGTGATATTCCACATGCAATACCTTGCACACATTACAATTCAAAAGCACCTGCCATCTATTTGCCCAACTCACCAAATAATCCAAATCCTTTTGTAAAGCAGTAACTTTCTTTCATTGTGCCAGTTTTCTATCCAATAATTCGACTTATCCCCACACCCAAAGATATAACTTTTTTACAAGCCTTTTAATGTTTTCTTAACAAGCTCAGAATAAATGTGATCATCTCTTTCAGTTTTGTTTCTATCTAGTAACTGTTCAGGATGAAAAATATTGCTTAAATCTCCTTTAGCAAAAACTGAAAAAAAAAGAGTAAACTTTACTAAGCCAGCCATCCCATAATCATCAAATATTAGCCTTCCTGTATTATCCCTCAGAAGACATACTCCCTAACAATTTGCTTACCCTTAACATAGTACTACCTATACTACTAGTACTACCTCAAAAATTGAATGAAGCACAGAGGAAACTGGAAACTATGTCATATAAAACCTGCAGATACATATGCATGAATAACAAAATAATACAGAATTTTGAGTTAACTATTAAATTTACTTAAAAAATACAGCTGTCAGGCACTCACAATTTCAACCTTTATTTATAGTTAAAAGAAATTATAATTATGTATAAAGTCATAAAATTCTTAAGTAGACACATTTTACCATGAATGGTAAAGCACTAAAATCAATGTTGTGTACAAGAGTAAATACAACTTTCTTGGAAGTTTGAATGAAACATTACACCAAAGGCTTAGATCTTAGCGGTTTCTAATTTTTGAGTTAATGGGCATTACCAGATAACAAATAACAGTTAAATACTAACAAAACTAAGTTAGTACAAGTAGTAGGCCTACTAACTCTTGCTCTTAGTGCAATAAGTTATCAACTAATAGTAACACGTAAATAATTTAATAAATAGCCAAATGGTAAGATGCATTTATAATCACTGAAAGTGTTATCTTGTACATTTACTTAAGTTGTATACTTTTACTCTTAGTATTACTACAATTGTTCAGTTAAGCTTAATAAATAATAAAATAAATTAGGCTGTTTATATAATATGGAAAACATTTTATGAAATATTTTTTGTGGAAAACAAAAAGTTAAATGCATAAACTTAGAAAATAATTCAGCATTTACTGAAAATTAGAATGCCAAACCCCATCCTACAGGTGGAATTTGGATGGGAAAGGATGTGGTGCCAGAATAGTACACCATATCTATTACAATATACATTTATACAACAGCCCATTGCAAAAACAATTTCTTTAAATATTTCAAAGATTATTAAAATAAATTCAACAAAATACACCCCTAACACAAACTTATGCACATAATATATGTGTGTAGCTATGTGTATTTTTGTAAAATACTTACTAGTGTTAGAAGTTATTAATAATTTAATCAACCATTAATAGCAATATCAAATCTAATAGAAAACCTGCTGGGGAATCTTCCAGTTCAATACATGATATGCATATAACACAAACACATAAAACTGCTTAAAATTAACTGAATAAATACCATTTCAAAAAATGAAGTATAGCAAATGGAAATGCTTAATTTCTTACTATGTGAACTTTGTAAGGCAGATAACTTGGATCAACATCATACGGCAATTCTGTAACTCGACTGACAATTTTTGAAGATATCTGAACTGCAGGCAGGCCCAACTACAAAAAAGTAAATCATGTAATAGACTTAAACTCTACTTGTTTACGTGGATTAATTTATTTGGTTTTAAAATATTTTGAATGTAAAGTTACAGGTTTATAGTTTTAATTATAACATAAAAACTTTGAGTTTATATTTTCCTTGCAAAAAAATGATTTTCTACTGTGAAACATAAGGTACATATGTGTCTGAATCTTTTAACAAAATAGAATGAACGAAAGTTAGGAAAAAAACATGATGAGGTTGGTAAAATGGAATACTTCATGGAAGTCACTGCTCAGGTGACAGTTAAAATATTTTAGGCACATGTAATTTTCTGCAATACTTAAAGATTTATTTTACAAAAAGTTCAATATAAGTTAACAACACATATTTTCATGGCAAGCTAAATTAAAAGGTTATTGTTATTGAACTTCTTAAGAATAAATTTGCCATATTATTCATTTACTCACTGCTTCTACATTCCTTGCCCAAAGTCGGGATCGAACAGTGAAAAATACCTGCTCATTCTCATGGAGGCTGTAGACAGTACAGCGTATGTGAGTACACTGGTTAGGTTTACATTCCTGTAAAATATCACACATTTATTTAGTTAACATGAGAAATCAACTTATGCAGTCTACTTGAAAGTATGTGTATTATAATTGACAAGCAAGAGAAACTAGGGTGTTTTTATGTAATGATTGAGATGAAAAATTGTTCTCATACAAGATCTATCAGCACCAGTCATCTCTAATTTCAAAGCGACAAGCTAGAAGGAACACGGCTAGCCAACAGCAACCACCACCCTCTTGGGCTATTATAATCGAACAGTGGGATTTTACCACCACGTATAACACATCCATGTCTTCAAAGTTCAAACATTTTTTGCAGCAACAAGACACAACACATTAACTCTCAGATTCACACTTTGGCATGTTAACCACTAGGAAACACCTAGCCCTCGATTTTTGTAAATAATAAACTATAAAAGAGTAAATTCTCCTAAGAAAACCGTGTTTTCTCACACTAACTTATCCAATTTTCCTGTATATTTTATGTGTTTTTCTGACAATATAAATAATCAAAGTAATGTTAACTGTTATACTGAAAAATAAATAAAAACAGATGGTGACCAAACACAAACTGGAAAAGTTTACTTCATTTTGTACAACATTTATAAAAGACTTTAGCGTGCGTGAGAGAAATTTATTTATTTTATTTTGTAACAATGCCACATGCTTCAACAGTGAAATATAATTTTATCTATGGTGAAGTAAAATGGACTCAAAACCCCATACATATTAAATACACTTCACCATTAGGCCTAATGGTAATTCTTTGGTTTGCTGACCGAAGCTGTGCTGATGAGCCTTGAAAAAGAAAATAAATCTTTAACACATATATACAAAATGTAGTTTTGTTTAAAAACCTACATAGCAGGGTGGATCATTAGTACATTTTGTGCACTAAAAGGTTATGCTTCTTACACTTGGCTTTAGCCATTCAGAGGAAGATTTAGTGTGACTTTAAATACAAGTCTCATCCCTGTGTTGTTTCCTAGCTACAACTTGTATCTCGATTTGCAGTTTTCAAATCTCTCAATATGTATACGTGGCTGTTAAGTGATTCTTTTTATGCTATGTTGTATACATTGTAAATTACCCTGATAAAGATATTTATGAACTTACGAAATAATTACCCAGACATCTGATTATGCTCATCATGTTATGAAAAGACTTATGAGATAACCACCTGGCCAAACCAGACTAACTACAACATGCTTTCAAAGATCTCATGGTAAAACAAAACCACTCAGACAATCAAGTTAATCACAATATGCTATCAAAAACGTTATAATATAACCACCTGGACAATTTGGTCGACCTTATGAAATACTCATCTGAATAATTAGGCTAAACACTTATACATTTATCAAAGCCTCATGAAACAGCTATCCAAGTTATCAGGCTATCTACATTAGCAATATCAAGTATCAAAATCATAACTTACTTTTACGTGTTAATTAGCTGTACCTTTGTGTGTTCTAGTTTCTTTTATTGTGATATTAATTATACATGGTCATCTATTTATGACCTCATAAATATATTTATACATGCATATGTGAATATTCACTTATGTGCATTAGTATTATATTGTTTGCAATTGGAAAAAAAGTTATTTCAACAAATTATCTGACTTGAAAACATTTGTTTTAAAAACCTTTTCACTGAATATAAGACATTTTGCTTCAAAAACAGATCCTTAATAAGCATTAAACCTAAATCAAAGTTAGGTATTCATTATTTTACTAATAACAATAAATAATGTATAACATTTATATTTCTTTTTGCCTTAAAGAAAATATATATTTCTATATGCAACTGATATCAAAGCTCTACTTACAATATTAACGAAACTAATAACTTAATGCATTGAAAGTTACAAATATCTTAACTGTAACTTCTACAAATTAAATCTACAAACCACTTCTTTAGAGAAGGAATCATCTTCTTCATTAGTGGTTCGCTTTGTTCTTAAATTTGATGTGTTCTTCTTATTTTCATTCTCCTTAAAGAGATGTTCCATGGACATTGTTTTTGCCACTCTCTGTAAAAAGAACGAAGTTAGGACAAGCAAAAAATCTATTACAAGAAGAGCTATGACATCTTATATCCATGTAATAAAACTTTAATAATTGTAGTAGCATATAATTTTCAGTCTAGTATAATTGAGCTTCTCAGCTTTATCTCATACTCACTACTTCACCTTTCCATGCGTGTGGTCTGTTATGTTGCGATAAAACCAGTAAATAAAAAGGTATAAAATTTGTTACTCATTTGGAGTCATTTTGTTTTATATTGTTTTAGCATCATTTATACTACAATAAACTATAATGTATATATTCCTACATTTCTGTTACAATCAAATTTTTATTTAAAACTGCAATATCAGTGTGATAGAGCAGGTTTCCCATTATTATAAAAACATTAGCTTTAACATAATTCAATTGTATCTCAAAGACTTGTATTCATAGTTTTTTTCACACAGAATACACTGTAATAATCACTCAATTAATTATTAGTGTTATTTAACATTCCACTGCACAATGATTTATTTTACATAATAGAAAACTTACATTTCAGTATAATACAAGAAACATCGTGCTTAAAATATTTATTATGTTACTGCATAAAATCTTTACAACGAATTCTAATATGAAAATTATTTTCTATATTTGCTGCATAATGAAAGATGGTTATTATTTTATTTAGAGTTACGGGTTTCACTCTTCTACAGTCACTGTTACCTGAAGACTCAAAGGATTAATATTAGGCACTGTGAGACAGGACCCATTTCCTCGAACTTTTGGCTGTTCCATCAAATACAACAAGTGTTTCCCATAAAGAGTGTAGGAGGGCCACAACAAATGCACCTCAGCACTTAGTATTACACTTGGTCCTCTGTTGATTACCTGGTGAAACCACATAGATTCTAGTTACACTTCCATTTTGTATTTGGACATAAATGACAATAAACAGCTAAAAAAAATTTCTAAATTCTAGAGATGTTCACACAATCTGAAGTCTTGAACTTTCTTTCTATAGTTTTTGTTGACAATAAAGCAATTATTCAGACTATGGCTTTGCAACTAATATGCAGATCATATAGTAATATGAATTTATTCTTCTCCTATAATTTTATAATTTGTTGGAATTCATAATTCTCATTCAAGAGTTGAATAATTATGTTTTTGAGACTCATAATGACAACAAAATAAGTAATTACATGTTTCTCCACATTAGCAGTTTTATGTATTTGTTTGTACCAAGGTTTTGGCTACTATACTTTAACTGTCTTCAGGTCTAAATGGTCGACTTTCTTTGAACACACAATTTGCAATCAATAATAACATTGGTCTAATTAATGATGACAGGAACAGTTTTCATGAGATCTACTGACTTCTTTCTTATTGGTTATCTAAAATAATTCTTTCAAGTTATTCAGTTATTTATAACACAGTTTCTTTCAGATTTTCAGTGGATTTACCTGAGCTCACTAGAGCTGTAGTTTATTTTATAATGACCACTTACAGAATATTCTTCATTTGATAATTATTAAAGTTTTATAGGGTGTTCAGCCATAATCACAAAATCAGTTCCATTAACATAACAGAAACACTATCTCAAATAACAAACTTATTTGTTCATACAACCTTTATACCAAGAAGCACCATTTTCCAATGGTAGTAAGCTAATTCTGTTGTACCAAATAATAATTTTTTTTTCAAGAAATTATGAAAACCATGAGTGGTATGGGGAATATGTTGCTAGCAAAAATATATCCTGTATATGTAAGAATACAAGAGTTTATTATACATATTGTAACTTGTAGTGAAGCATAATTATTTAATTATATTACAGAGAAAATGTATTAAAGCTATCACACAAGCAACTGAAACCAGTACTTTATTCAATTGAAAATAGAAAATGATAAAGTCAAGAGAAATTAATTAATTCAGAGAATCTTCAATCTTTCAGTATTCAATGTTAATAAAATTCTATTATAACTGACAGTTAAATACACATGTATCACAAAATAATAACAAAGAAATAGGAATACATCTCACCTCATAAACATGAGTAACTTCAGGGCCAATTTCACTTTCTTTTCTCATCTTACTTTCAGGTAAAACTTCTGATAAGTTGTAAGACAAGGTCTCAGGAATGGAAATTCTGGATTTTCAAAAAAATATTTATGACATAATGTATTTACTGCTCTTCCAAAGTTTAGATAAAAATTTGTTTTGATTTCTAGTGTATAAATTGCATATTTAAAAGTTTCTACCATCAGTGATGGCCCTGGTGATGAACTAATACTCTGCAATGCAGTCTTTACTTTTAAATAAGAGGTTTTGTGAAGTATATTGAAGTCAATATTGTTCCATTTCTCTTTACATGCTTTTCAAAGCCCATCAACCATATACAGGTGATGACTTCGGAGGACTTCATCTGAGTAACCCAAGGGCACAAAAATCCGTGACAGATGTATCTGGTAATTTAACTGGTCCATCTACAAATGGTATAGAATGATTTTCCCATCTGTATTTAGATCTTGGAGAGGAAATAACACGATGTCTTGAGCACGTAGCTGACTTGTTTGTCTTGATAAAGTCGTACCTTAATGGCATCCAATCTGTACAAAGCTGGTACTTCTTCACAGTACAGTAGTGTTGGCACATTAGCCTGATAAAGCTGTAATCTGCAACTATCATAAATCCCTTTTAAAAACTATTATAACTCTAACAAATTTGAAATGTTGTATTGCCAACACAATTATAATAATTTGTCTGAATTTTGATACAATTACTGAAGTAGACATAAAAATCATAACTAATATTCAACGTTAAACTGGTACACAATTAAAAACATTTTATTTAGGCCTATCTATGGCCTTCAAAAAGCTCTACAT